ATGAGGTTGCGGGTTCAAAACTCGATTGCAACCTTGCGCATGGACACCAGCAGGGCGTTAGATTGACGCACGGCTGGACATACACTCCCTTGGGCCCCTTGGGCTGACGCATGGTAAAAGCTATTACCTGTCTCTTATACACATCTAGATGTGTATAAAGAAATGGGCTATGCTCGTTGGGGTGACGTGATTGTCACATTCCTTTCTTTGGTGATTTTTTTTTTTTTTTTTTTTTTTTTTTGTTTTTTTTAAATTTTTTTTCTGTTTGTTCATCACGTTTAGGGCATCATCGTTTCGCATTCGTAACGTTCCCGGCGTTTTCTTTTTTTTTTTTTTTTTTCCCCGGAGGGGAGGGGGGGCTGCGCCGCACTCTGCTGCAGTGCAATACAGAGGCAACGCTGGAGGGGTCAAGCAAGCAAGCTTAACCCTACGACCCCTCCGAAACCTCTGTATAGCACTGCAGCAGAGTGCTTGCTTGACCCCTCCACGATATTAAATTAATTTTTTGGAGGGGTCGTACGGGTAATCTTGCTTGCTTGACCCCTCCAGCGTTGCCTCCGCAAAATTAATTTACCCGAAAAAAAATAATAATAATAATAATATCGTGTGGTCCGATGGACCACGGATCAGATATTATTAAACTGATCAGAACAGATACATTGCACCTGATCTTACTTAGCCAAAAGGCCGAGAAAGGTATTTCCCGGCGTTTTCAATAAAAACCTTCCATTTGGGCGAAGGTTGTTTGGTGCATTAGGGCCAGATCCCACAAGGAAAGACGATTGGAATAAGTGGCCGAACCTGGACGTGTTCCACACAGAGATGCAGAAAAGCAGATCAATCACACCTCTCCACAAACACGTCCAGATTCAGAGGCTTATTCCAATCCTCTTTGCTAGTGGGATCTGGTCATTAGGCCCCAAGTCTTGACCCGAATGGAAAAACTTGAGAACAGTTCGAACTACCAACCATCTTGGATAGTTTGTCCTCCCTTCTTTCCCCGAATACACCGTACTGTCATTATAGCTGTATCTAGACTGAAAGATGCCTCAAATACAGCTATAATGACCGTACGGGGAAGAAGGTAGCGATATCCCCTCACTTGTCCATTTTTTTCCCGCATGCTCTCCCCCTCACTTGTCCTTTTCCGGCTGTATCTAGATTGAAAGATCCCTCAAATACAGCTATAATGACCGTCCGTTGTATCGGGGGAAGAAAGTAGCCATATTCCCTCACTTGTCCTGTCTAACGAATTCGCGGTAAGATGAATCTCCGGAGTGCAGATTTTTTTTTTTTTTTTTTTTTTTTTTTGGAGTGCAGAATTGATTGCACAGGGAAAAAAAAAATAAAAAAAAGAATTGATTGCACAGGCTCTTCTATTTACTAGAGCCTTATCGATCGTGGTTAACTTCAGGTAACCTAACGGTAGAGATCGGACCGAAGCCAATGCAGGTCTCCACCCAACTAACGTCCTCCCTCTCCTCCTATCGTTCCTTCCCTCTGCAGGTCTCTCTCTCTCTCTCTCTCTCTCTCTCTCTCTCTCTCTCTCTCTCTCTCTCTCTCTCTCTCTCTCTCTCTCTGCGTCTCTCTCTCTCTCTCTCCGTGCGTCTCTTTCTCTTTCCCCGCTTGTCTCTCCGTCTGTCGATACTGCCCTTGCTGACTTGTCGACCTTACTTATACGAATGAGGCCAGAGAGACGTGGTACGACCATCACCTTGCGTGAAACGGCCTAGAGTAGAAACTGGCGGTGATTGGATCCCTGCTACATAGAGCCAGGAAGTATACCACGGTTGAAGGCACGGAGCTTCTGTTCTTGTTGGCTTTGAAAACTGAGTTGTGGTACAGAAGACACCCCGATGAGCTATTTGATACGGCACTTACTAACTTCTCGAGGAAATTTGGAGGCTTGTGGGGACAGCGGATCCCATGGCTGACGAAATGGTAATTGTAATTGAGGGTTTTGATCCGACATTAGGATTAAGAAGTTGATAATTTCTCCTGTTTTCGTTTTTGTGTTGATCTTTTGTTTCGAGTTTCCTTTGTGGGTTTGCCCGAACACAGTTGCCCGGATTAAGTGATACAGGCTTGAGTTTTTTCGTTACTGATTGACGAGTCGGAGGGAGAGGCTGTTGAACATCGATGGTTGTGTTGACTTGGTGAGACCATCTACGGGGATTTTGAGACTGGTATGGCCGTTTTTTTTCTTGAGATTTCAACTGATCACCTGTTGGGTTGGTCGATTTGGAGGATTGTTCCGTTTTGTTCTGTTTTGTTTTGTTTTGTTTTGTTTTGTTTACCGCTGAGGCTATTGAGTTTCGTTTTGGCACCCTCGGTAGAATCGAATGAACTACACGGGCTTTTTTCACACCTTGGAGCTCGAGACTCGAACCGGTTACCTTTGGAATATTCCCTGTAGACCCCTCCTTTTTGGTTACACTAGAACCAGACCTATAGGAGTTCCCTCTAGAACTTTTTAGATTTTTAGTAGTACCTATTTTCTGTAGTACCGGGCTTGAAGGCGTTTGACGACGGATACATAATAGAGGTCTGATGGTCCTCTTGGACATCAACTTCAACAAGACCCCTGATGAGTACGGTGGGCGGCCGTACGAAACTAGTCGGGTCAGACGCCATGCGACGAAAGTCGCCGTGAGCTTCAGGTGTATCTTTTTTCGAGAAGTTGCGTTCGGGATTTACTCAGATTCTTGTTGTATCTGTCATCATTCTCTGTCTATTTCCTCCCCTCTGTCTCTCTTCCCTCTTATCCTCTGTCTCATGTGTGGTTCTCACTGGTGTGGTCGACGAAGATTCTTCTCACTGGTGTGGTCGACGAAGATTCTCGTATTCTAGGTGATTGCTACTATTGTAGACTTGAGTAGAACATAGTGTAAGCTCTGCTGGATCTGATCCGTGGTCCATCGGACCACACAACAATATAAAAAAAAAGAAAAAAAAAGGAGAGGGAGATGAGATAAAAAAACTTGTGATGGTTCGTTTGCGTACAACACAGCCCTCTCTCTCTGTCTCTGACCTCGTTCGTTTGCTGACGTGGCCTCATGGTTGTTTTGAACGGCCTTTCAACTCGAGAAAGGTCGGAATGACTTGCGAACGACATTTCTCGGGTTCGTGGAGGCGAGATCTGGGGCGAGGTCCCAAAATAAATCCGTTGAAATCCCTTCTTCTTCTTCTTCTTCTTCTTCTTTTTATTTTTTTTTAAGAGTCCAGGGGCGAGGTCCCACTAGCAACATGGATTGAACGCCTGAATCTAGACGTGTTCCTCAAAAAGCGCAGAAATTCGAGATTGAATAGCGTTTCTGCATCTCTGCTTAAAGCACGTCCAGATTCAGGAGCTAAATCCAATCCTCTTTGCTAATGGGACCATGCTCCAGATCGTAGTAGAGGCTGGATGCTACCTTCTTAACCCCCAAAAAACGTACGTACGTTCTATTAGAATGACGTCTGGAAATCGGGTTTTCAGATATGGCTTGTTTTTTTTTCCCGAATAGAACGTACGTCGGAATGGAACGTACGTACTTTCTATTCGAATTCGAATGTTTGCAATTTTGATTTTTCAAAAATAATCGGAAAATTAAAAGGAAAAAAAACAAGGTGTACAACGGCAGGGACATTCTGTTTACTGATTTTTAAAGAATTTTGATTACAAAATTTCATTAAAAACAGAACCTCTTGGTTCTGGCTCCTGCCATTCTGGGGAGCGACAGCCCCGGCAAGTCAATATGGAATACTGGAATACATGAGAAACTCACGCACGCTCCTCCCATTATGGTTGGGAAGCCTGAGTGGGCGGCATTGATTGCTTCCTTGTGGAAGGATATACCCCCTCTCCCCCCTGCTTAAGTTAGCCTGTGATGCTAATCTCACTGTCCACAGTCCTGCTCCTCTCAGCTGCAATGCTGTCCGGTCGGTGTGTTATGCTAGAGCCATCGGGGACACTTTTGGATTTCTTGAGATCCTGGAACTTCAAACCCTACTTGTCTTGACTAACCCTAAACCCTAAACCCTTGTCTATCTAGCCTTGGAGTTACTTCCAGCTGCCTTTTTTTTCGGTTTGATGGCTTGTTACTCGATGCTCCCCGCCATCAGTGAGGTGTGGTCAGTGGGGATCATCTTAGATGTTGGGCTTGGTGCTTCCCCGCTCATTGAGCCTGCCATCCTGAATGGTCTTCGCTTAACTGCCTTGCTCATCAAAGTTTGACTGGGT